TTAATTGGTGTGCATTCCTTAATAAATATCCACCAACAGAAGACACCTAGAATGGAAGGTCAGGGATGAATCCAGGAAAGACAAAGAGTGTATTGACTAAAGGCCATATCTATGTAGGAGCAATAGCAAAGCTGCTGAGGTGAACAAAAGAAGCTTCATCAGGAGCTTAGTACCTTCACATAGGCTACCAAAAATGCTACCATCTTACATTTCTGAAGCACTTTATCCATTAAAAGGGACATATGTAATTCCTTTTCTTAGTTTATCTTGCCCTGACTTTAGCCAAAGACACCTGCTCTCTTAGAAATGTGTTCAGTGAGTATGTACACAGTTGAAGAATGTGCCCCAACACACTCTGCCTTTGGCCTGTAAGTTGGAGTCCTAAAGAGGCAGAAGAACCATGTTGATGAGCTTGGTACCCAGCATGGTGCACCATTCCAATGCACAATGAATTTCTGATAAAGAGGTTACAACTTGGAGAAACTTTAAATTTTTTTTCTTGCTACTCCTCTTCACATCATTAGACTTTTTTTTCCCCTTGGAAAAAAGCACACACACACACACACAAAGTAATAGCAAACACCAGAATTTGATGTAAAATTGCTTATTTGTAACTTCAATGACACTGGATTTCAACTACCCTGTAACAAGGAAACAAACACAACCAGGAAGGGAGGGAAGGGAGGCAGATGTGTTTCTCTGCAACATCACAGGCATATGAAAATGTTCAGATCTTAGAGATACTGGGAATGATATAACTTGGAAATTGAACCAAGAATATTTTCCATCTGTGAACAAAGCCCATTTTAAAGTGCTTCACATGTTTTCTGGATTTCTCTTTTTCCCAAAGTCATACTGAATTTCTGAGAGAGGGACACACTGGAAAATTACTGATATATGAAAAATGAAATTTAAGATATAAAAATGTGGTACTTCCGATAAATTTTATGTTTACTCTTTATTTAAATAGAGCATTCTAAAATATTACCCCTAAAGGGGCCAAATTTTTATATATGTATTATTTTGTTTAGATGTGATGAGCCGGTGAAGAGTGAAAGTGAAGTTGGCTATTATGTTTATTTATTGATAAAAATGATAGCCTTTTTATATCTGGTTTCAAATCACTTCTCTACTAATCACACAACTTCCATACATTGCAAAGAGAGCACTGAGATTGAATGAAAACAAGAGGTTGGTGCTTCCTATGAGGCCCTGTGTCTGTGTTCATACAGAATATTTATGCAATGTTCTGACTTGGCTATAATCTATAATTCTTGGCTATTATTTCAGTTGCAACAATAATTTTTAGATTAATGATTATAATTTTGGTAAGGCACACATGAAAAGTTATATGTTCATGCTTGAAAGGAAGATCATTAAATATTCATTATTACCCCTCAAATTAGTTGTCATGCTCTATATAACAGTTACCAGATATCATTTCACTAGTTTAGAGTCAGCAATAAGTGAACAACAATATATGGCTCATAGCAGTTGAGGATTTTTTTTTTTTTTGGTGGGTGAACAGAGAGAAAAATGATTTTAAAACCCATTTGACATATTTATGTTGACAAATTATTTAAAGAATTACTGTGTTGTCAATAAACATGTTTGTATGGTGGATCAGCATTGTGGCTGGGTTTGCTTCTAGCTGTTTAATTACTCTATGATTGTGAAAAACAGTTCTTCAAATAGTTATGAGGAAAAAATATAAAGGTTGAGATAGTTTAGTTTTTTGCAGACACCTAAACTTGCCATGAAAAATCAGTTTTCATTTTTATAAGCAGGCATTGGAATCTTGCTTTTTCAGTTAAGCTAGATTGTATAATTTGTTAGTTTCCCCCATCTGGCAACAAATCTATTCTTAAGAGAGAGAGAGGAAAAAAAAAAGTAAAACAAGAGATGAATTTTTATAGATATTGTAGGTGAACATACATAGAGATTATGTGTTGTCAATCCACTTTGAAAAGATACAGGGAGAAAATAAATAAATTCAAATGTATTTTAGTGTAAAAATGTTTTGCTTTTTTCTTCCATGTATCTTGGTATGCCAGTTTAGTTAGGTGAAGACATTAGGACAGCCATGGGTTTTTTTGATCACATGTATGAATCATTCTATACTCAGTAATTTTAAATTGGTTCTTTCTCCATAGAAAATAACCATAAATTGGATTCTGATCTCATCTAACTTTAGAGCTTTTTGCCTTAAAGAGTCAAATTGTAGCTGATGAACACATTTTGCATTTTTCCACATTGCATCTGGACTCTACATAACGATGGTTTATTTTATTTTATTTTATTTTTTCTGCACAGAGGAAAGGAAAAATATATAGGTCCATGAATCAATCTAGATAATGGGGAAGGCTGAATGTAATAAATAATACAGTAACAACCCTAAACTAATGAGCTGTTGCTAAGGTACATTTCATGGGCTCATCCTCTATATAAAAAGTCACTAATAACCCCTTGGTGTAATCAGATGATAAAGCTTTGCCATAAGGCAACACCTGTGCAATTAGAACTGCAGATTCTTTTGCACGTTTCATTAATTTCAGGATTTTGTAAAGGCACAATGACTACACTAATAATCTAGTCTACTTGACTCCATGTCTACTGGAAACAAAGTGTCTAATTAGATAAAGGTAATTAATTAGAGATAAATGGAGCTAATCAGACTCAGTTAACACTAATTCTCTGAATTAAGACATTTTGGGACACCTACTATCCTGTTGACTTTGATATTTTACATTAAGAATAGGTTCTAGAGGAGTCAGAAAATACTGGCATTTGAGAATTGAGCAGTCTTTTGATGGCATATTTAGGCATCTGAAGCTAAAGGAGTTTTCTTTCATATTGTGCTATTTCACCACCTTTCTATTGCAGCTTAAAGAATTCACTTTGTAGTTATTCCAATCTGTGCTAGTCTCCATATAAATTTTAATAACCTTTGCTATCATTTTTATTATCTGTCTAGCCCACCAATGGAAGAAAATCGCAAGTTGTTCTCTCTTGAATAAAGACTTAACTTGTTACATTAAGGAAATGTCAAGACTCATCAGCCTATATCTTAAAATTCTGATCCGTTAAAGAGAACAAACACCTAAAATTCTGATCCTTTAATTCTGATTCTTTAAAGAGAACAAACCTCTGCTTTACTGTGTTGAACAGAAAATTCAGTGATGTAGGATAAGAAGTGTGGACTTTGAAGTCAGAAGACCTGAATTCAAATTTCATTCTATCTCTTACTAAATGAGTGATCTCAGGAAGTAGTTTAACTTCTCTGAGTTCCCTTGATTGTAAAATGGAAATAACTACTGACTCATGTAATATTGACACTAACTTTACAGAGTTAGCGTTGTGAATGCTGAGCAAGGTAACTATATTTAAGTGTCAAAATGTACCATTTTCAGGCGTGGGATGTAACTCAGTGATAGAGCACTTGCATAGCATGCTTAACGTCCTGGGTTCTATCCCCAGCACTGGAAAAAAAAAAGTTCCATTTTTACCTCAACTCTGATAATCTGGACTACATTTAAAAGGCTAAAAAGGGGCCTGGGGATGTAACTCCATGGTACTTGTTGCTTAGCATATGCAAGGTCCTGGATTTGATACACACACACACACACACACACACACACGTGTAAAAAGGGAGAGATTACAATTTTTTTCCCCAGATAATCAGAAAAAAAGTTTCCCCAAATTCTTCACTTGGAGAATGTGAATTTATCTGCTTTAGTTTTCTACATTGAAATAATTATCCTCAGTCTACCAGGGGTGAACAATTGCCTCTGAAATTAATGTGGGATGTAACTTATTATGAAGTAGACATTTTAATCTTTCTTCTACACTATCTCTGGGATATGCCTCATCCTCTTTCTAGTATCCAAATTATCTGGACAACTCCTAGATTGCTTTAATATTCTCCTAACGAGAATCCTTGCCTTTCTTTCTCCTATAATTATATGTCATCAAATTAATGTTCCTTCTAGAAAACTTTCCTCTTTTTCTAATCAAGATCTAGGAGGATTCCTTGTTAAACTAATCCTCTACCCTGCAGGTAGTCAAAGAAGCCATATCTGGTCCCATGGTATTTATCCAGTATTATCTCCTGCTGCCCTCCTTTTAATTCCAAGCTAGCCACCTTTGCTGTTTTCATCACACTTGTCTCTCCTTTTATGCTCTTGTCCAAGCCTAATACTTCTTTTTTTCTCCTAAAGACCTATTTCAAGACTTACCTTTCCCTGGAGGTCCCCCATGATGACCTATCCCAACAAGAATATTCTCATCTCCACAGGCTCCAGCAGTGTTTGGGTTGGTGACCGGCTTCCTTTCTCTTTCCGGCACTGATGAGACACCTGAGCTCAGGAGCCACATCCCATTGTCTGTTTGCCTTGCCTACAACCTTTTCCCACAATCCAAACCTTCACAGGTTTTGTGGTCTGTGGTGGATGCGCAAAACACACATGTAACTTGTCTGTGAAGTGTGGCCTGGCCTGGTCCTTGGAAAGTCAGGTCCTCATGATTTTTGTAGGAATCCTGGGGCTTTTGGCCCACTTTGGGATGGGTCGAGCCCTGGGATGAGCCTTCATGTTTGGATATGAGAGTACCTTAATGAGAGGTTTGACACATACCTTTGAGGGAATGCCAGGTTTGAAAGGAGTGTAAAGGTGATTAAATCAAGTGTGTAGATGAAGTGGAGAGAGCCTGTGGATAGGGAGAAGTAGAACATGATGACAAGAGGAAAAATAAAAAGAATAAAAGTAAAAAGAATATAAATAAGAGAGTTTTGGGGGTAGTTGGATTGAATTCAGAGCATTTTACTACTAAGCATCCCCATTCCTCTCTTTTTAAAAAATTTTTGAGACAGGGTCTTCTCAACTTGCTGAGGCTGGGGTCAAACTTGTGATCCTTCTACCTTAGTCTCCCAAGTCACTGGGATCACAGGCATGTGTCACTGTGCCAGACCCAAACCATCTTTTTTTTAGAAAGCAATTTCTGAA